TTTGTTTTTTACCGGAGATGGCTATATCGACTCAGCTTTTGATGCTGATCAAGAATATATATGATTTATAGGGTCGGAAACGACTCCTTCACATCGTTCGAGGCTCCTGACTAAAATTGGAAACCATATTAGATTTAATTAAAACCCCTTGCTTGTATATTTTTTTCACCCTTTGCCAGGAAAAGTCTCTTTACCGACTCTCTCCCAGGATTCTATTATTTCAGTGTTGACTTGACGGCATCTGGTGAATGTGTTTCCAGGACAAACAAGAAGTAAAGGCTGCTGGAAGAGTATGAAGCCCCGAAATCAATCGACGGGCCCTCACCAATTTTCGTATTGTTTGTGGCAAACTGACCAAACGAGTCCAGCGTTCTAGTGCAAATATGGGATAGAGGCAAAAAACAAAAAAGAACTCGCAGGACACGCGTATCTGTGCAACCCCCACACTCACTCACTCGCACACACACCCATCCAGGACGAGGCACACGCTGTTGTCAACTTCCTTTCTGCCTTCTCTCCATAACGGATGCTGGACATTATCGATGGAGTGGAATGGGATCGGCAATGGCATTGGGAACGGGCAGCGAGTCCGGAGTCCGCTTGCATATATTTTTAACCTTTTGTTGTTTTTCGTTAACTAAAGTGCCATCAGGGGCAGATGTTTTTTCCATCCCAGTCCCAGTCTGAGTTTTTCTAAGACTATATAGTATCCTCTTCTTTTTTTTCTATCCATTTACATGTAAAGTGGACATGGTGGACGCATTCTGTTTGCCGAACTGTAAAAATTGTTTTGTTACTTTCGCTGTCGCGAGTTTCCTTGGTTTCCTTTCCCCCGCTTTGTTTATTTCCCAATGGGCAAGTGGGTCCTTTATGGATCTCTCCTGCCAGAAGTATCCTTCACCACCACCACCAGCAGCGTCATCACTATCTTATGGATTTCCTCTTCGGCACGGCTTTAATTTTGTATAGTTTTGCATATTCATCAACTGATTCGCTGCAATTAGTTTTGGTTTTTGCTTTTGAATTGTATTTCGGATTTTGCGGTTGAATGGCATAGATGACGGTTGCGATGATTAACTATCCTGGTGGGCATTCATAATGCAAGTTGAATAGAGATTTAAGCTGTGGTCGGTCAGTGTACTATTAAACCGCATTTAAATTTATTTCAAAAGGATTCTCATGGCTATTGTAAAGAAAATATTATATTATCATTGGGTTTATATACTTTCATTTTGTTTTCAAAAGGTTCTTTAGTTTGTTCTGCTTCTTAATTATAAATATTCGTAATAGATTTATAATTTCATATTATTTCCTATATCTTGTTAATCTGCATATGCCCAAGTCTGCTCTTTGTATTTTAATTTCTGTTCTATAATATTGTATTTCTCTCTTACACTTGGTTTACTTTAACATCTTAGAGTCCTTTCACATTTTCTAATTGCTATATTTTGTCCTAATATAATTAGGAGTTTTATAATAGACAAACTCTATCTTTAGTTAATGTATCTGTATGATTTACGACACGCGACTACTAGAAAGATCTATTGCCAAGTCTTAACCCTCATAATTGATCGCCACGCCAAAAACTCAGATGGTCAGCGCATCCTTAGCGCTTGTTAGCGGCGGCAATGGCCACTTAAGGATTTAAGGATTCGCTACACCCACCTTAATCCCACAAGGTCGCACTCCGGTCAGCTGTTGGACGGATCGAAAGGATACTCTCTCTTTCACTCCCACCTTCAGCGCTGGCTCGAAACCTGGTCAATTCCAGGGAAAAACTGTTTACAGATATAAATTATCCAGGGGTTCAACAAATCCTTAAGGTGGCTCTAACATGACGTCACGCTCGAGGATCGACGAAAGGATCGCCGCTCATAATTAACCCACACACAGATGCTGGCGAGGTCCCTCGTGATCCGGGCGGTCGAACTGATCCTGCCTGGTAATTTTCATAATTAAAATGCGTAAAGTTGTGGAAAAAAGGAGCCAGAGAATTTTTTCGAATTATTCCCGGGATCTGAATGTGATGTGGGCGCCGGCCCTTAAGTCCACTGATGCTATCAACAGCTCTGCGAAGGCGGCTGTTGGACAAGGGGTGATCGGTCCAAAGTAGAGGGGGTGGATTGCTAATCATCGGCTGACGACGCTGCCTCTCCTGCTGCTTCATGTGGCCATTTGTGAACCCCAGGCCCGTTTTAATCAACTAAACACCCACAACATGAGCTAGCCCCTGAGTGCTATTCCTGGGGAATGTGAGTGAAAAACCTTGTAGACCCCTTTCCTCCCTAAAACAGTATGCTATTTTGGGTTTTGTGTTTTTATTTTTAGGGCCAAGGCAAGCTAAAAATGGCAGTCCCAAGCCAATCCCTTGCTTTCAGCCGTAACCAACACCAAATCCTTACTCCGAAATACAAAATCCAACCCCATCCCAAAATGGCGGAGAGTGCAGGGGTGGTGGTTAAACATAAATACCATATTTATGGCTCTGCTTCAGCCCAGTGGGATATTTATGCCAAACGTTATTATTTATATCTACACAGAGGGAAAAATCAAAGCAATTTGGATATATTATCCCCCAAAATAATAGAAATACAAGGAATTTATATATTTTAAAATATTTCTATTCTAGAGAGTTAAAATTAAATATTTTAAGACAAACATTTTGTATAAATCACAAGTACATTTGTAAGTAAACAACATACCATTTTTAAAGCTTTTTTCCAAGTGCAGTATTAAATTATTCAATTTATTTCTGAAAGAAGAATATATTGATATTTGTCAAGAGTAAGGGGTTCCAAAATAAAACCCCCAAATTATGCACTGCGAAAGTGTGCCATGCGCGTGTCTTTGTCCTAATCAATCAGAACATTGAGGGGTCAAAGGTGAATCAATAGTTGGGAAAAAAGGAAAAGAGAGAGTGCAAAAAACAGCTGCATCTAGCAAAGAAGGAAAGATACCCAGGACCAAAATTACACCTTTCAAATGGTCAGCAGACGGGCAATTGAACTATTTGAAGAACTCCCAGGCTACAAAGTGGCCAGGACCTTTCTCTCTCTCTCTCTGCTGTCTCCTCCTCCTACACATCTCCGGGTTTTGTCTATTTTTTTGTCTTTTCCGCAAACAATGGCCAGCAGCAGGACGAAAAAAAAGATGCAACAAAGCCACAAGCTGAGATAAGAAGCGGTGAACAAAACCAAAAACTATGGATCGTTACCTCGGGTCAGGACAATGAGGTTAGGGGAACTGGTCCCTAGGAAACGTCTCCTGCTTCCGTGATAAACATCTTTCGCTTGCGGCGGTCACAAGCCAAGAGCTCAACAAGGACAATGGGCAATGGCCAAATTGCCAACTTAACTTCGCTCAAATGAGCAAGGATCTTCAGACCCAGCTCTGACTTTAATCCAAAGGGGATATGCAAAATCTAATTTGCGATAAGATCTACGGATTTTAAGCCATCATCTCAGGCCAGCAGCCAGCCCTCACCCTTGATTATCATCGAAATTAATTCCGGCCATAAATATCAATTATTTTGAATATTTTTAATGAGGAAAAACGGCATTTAAACGTAATTTATATGGAAACAATTTCAAGGGAAGTGCATTTTTTCTTTTTTGAAATTATTTTCATCCACCAATCGGAATCGAACGACAACAGTGCAGCTAAAAACTATTTTTATAAAATTGAGTTTTCACTCAAGACCCAAAAACTATAGGAAAATTTTCCCTCCAAGCACGCGCCAGTTGGCTGAAGTGCGTTCAGCGCATGCGCGCCAACCGAGGATCGATCTCAGATCCCAAGTGATCCCAGATCTAGGATCCCATGCTGCGTCATCCTCCGCTGCCACTCCCTCCGACATCTCCAACGCACGCGCTTATGAGTTTTTCATTATTATTATATAATTGTTCCCTCTCCAAATGCAATGCGAATTGTGCGTTTTCACGCAAAATGTCAATAATCCATCAAAATTCTATATAGAAAAATAAAAGGAGAGTCCTGGGGTCCGTCCAATTTGTTTGGTTGCGCCCGCACACAAATTATTTGTTATATGTTTTTCTTTTCATTTAATAACTTGGGTATTTAGCACATGATGGAACAGTTTTTCGTTTTTGAAATGTAAGAAATAACTTATAAATTTTCTCAATATCTTTGCCTTGGATGGTAGGGTACAATAAATCATGTGTCAGAAAGATCTCGTGTTGACAGTGGCTCTTGGTCAAGCCGTGGTCTTTGGACATATGCTAGCACCTGGGCGATGAGTTGAAGATATATCCTGTGCTGGGGTTATCCCGAAAATATAAATTATTTAAGGGTTTAAGTTTCTAGTTCTAGTTCTTCAAAATATATAAATATATGTAAGATATAGGAACAGAGTACTTATTCATGGAATAATAGTTTACAAATCGTAAACCATAAACGATTTCCTATAACACAAATCTGTGAATGATTATAAATTTATAATTACTTAAATTCCCCATTGAAAATGACAAAAATGTATAATGTCTTAATCTTTATTTCATAATTACATAAAAACATTTTGTGGGCAAATCTTAGGCTACTTTTATTTACTTTAAAAAGATTTATTTAGTTGTTTTCTTTTTAAGGATTACACTGGGCGCACATAGAAGTCTTGAATATATTTTCATGGCTTTGGCTTACTTCTTTTATGGAATTAAATACTAATTTTGATCCGTTCGCTCAGATGGCGGGCAGAGCTGCTCGTTTTTAAAAATCTCTAAATTTGTACTTCTTCTTTCGTCAGTTTTCAGTTGCATCGAAAATATTGTCATTGGTGCCAAAGTGTTCTTTTGTTAAAATCATAAATAAAAACCTTGCGAAATAATATATTGAATAAATTTTATTTATTTGATTTCGTTCGTTTCATTTTCAGTTTTTTGGTTTCGACTAACAGAGAATACTGAGAGAATATCAGAATTGAGCATTTGTGTAGGTTAAATAAGACTAAACATTTAATAATTAATAATAAAATACTCGTATGTGTATGTGTGTTAAAAACTATATTTTATTAATTTGACTTTGGACTGTTTGTTTCGTTTGCTTGTTTCGCTTGACTTGTCTTACAAATTAGTCGTAACTTAGGACTACCTTTCTCCAATCATCGATGATAATTTTTTAAACCTTTCTCAGGGTTTTTAGTCGATTTCGAAAATACGCAAGAGAGGGAGATAGAAAAGAGAGAGAGTATAGAGTGAGATACAGATGGAAAGTGGCTACGATTCGATACAATTAGTCTAGATATTTAAACTTAAGGGCTAGGATTAGTGAGTTTGTAGTTGCTAGCGGCTTATTTGGCTTAGGTATGTACAATTCTCGACAACAAAATAGTTTGAATGGCTTAGTCTACGCATATATACAATTCTGGACAACGATTATATTGATAATAGTGATAAATAATAATAACAAGGTGGTGGCGGTGCAACTTAGGAGTGCGCATTCCGGGCCATGTGGACGAAGAGGCCGACGGGTCCGTCGCACTTTTCGCCACACATGTTGCACTTGAACACATCGTCGCAGCTGTGGTAGCCCATGTGGATGGTGTAGAGCACGGCGTCCTTGAAGAAGATATCACAGTACTTGCACTCGTAGATGGCCCCCGCCGCCGCCGGTGTTCCGGATGCCGGATTGGTTGCACCCGCATTTCCGTTGCTGCTGGCATTGCTGTTGGTGCTGCTGTTGCCGTTGCTGTTGCTGCTGCTGCTGGCGTTGGAACTGTTGCCGGAGCTGGATGCTGTGGAACTGGCACTGGTATTGGCCTGCGGCACATGGGCCGTCTCCATGGACTCATCCGCCGAGCTGGTGCCCGAGCAGGGCTCCTCGGGCAACTGCTTGTGCCCGGCAATGGGAGAGGATGCTGTGGGCATAACGCTGGTTGGTACCTTAAGCTGCTCGGGGGATGTCATCGCCGCCGATTTGAGCTGCAGCAAGGTGTCCAGCTTGAGGACGCGTCCCTTGCGGCGAGAGGCATTAGAGCTGCTCATCAGCGGTGTGGCTTCTTCCTCCTTCAGCTTGAGATTCATGACCAGAGGCTGCTGCTGCTGCTGCTGTTGCTGCTGCTGCTCCTCCTCCTTCACCGGTGTTCCTTGCGAGAGATCCATGGCGGAGTCCACCGACTTGCGCTCGTACTCATCGTCCTGCTCCTCCTCCTCCTCGTTGTCGCTGTGCTGCTGCTGTTGCTTCTGCTGCAGTTGCTCTCGCATTCGCGGCGACAACTGGGCCAAGACGGCGGCCTGCTGCTGGGCGGCCAGCATCTGCAGATTGAGATTCCAATAGGGGAAGAAGGCCATGTTGCGATTCTGTTGCAGCAAGCTGGCCAGCGGTGGCAGGAGATTCGCCGTGCTAGACAGGCTCGAGGCCTGCTCCACGCTGGTCACACTCTTGGCGGGCGAGGCGGGCAGCGGGAGAACGGGAGAGGCCAGGGCAGGAGCTGAGTTGGTCTGGGCCAAGGGGAATCCTTGCAGGGCGGCACTGAGCTGAGATGTGGCTGGTGGAGGCTGCTGCACTGCCTGTGGCTGCTGCTGCGGCTGCTGTGGCTGCTGCTGCTGCTGCGGGGCCACAGCTGCTACATTCGGATGCTTCCGGCTGTGGCTGCCACTGCCATTGGTCACTGGGCCGCCCGACTTGCTCTTAGGACCACGGCGCGTGCCGTAGACATCGATCACCAGCGAGGGATTGGGTGTGCCATCCTCGTCGAGGACCATGCCGGGCTTGTGGCCATACTTGCGCAGATGGAGCTTGAAGCTGTGGCAGTACTTGGTAGCATAGTCGCAGTCGGCGCAGCGATACTGGTACACTGAGCTGTGGGACTTGCGGTGCGAGTTGAGCATGGACTTGTTGACGCAGGTGTAGCTGCACTTGTCACACTGGAAGGGCTTCTGGTTCTTGTGCTTGCGGATGTGATACTCCAGGTGGTGCTTGAACTCGGTGACGAAGGGACACTTGGAGCACTGCAGAATCTTGTCTGGTTTCATGTGGGTGCGGGTGTGCGCCCAGAAGTCTACCTTGGTGATGGCCACAACCCCGCATGTCTTGCACTTGTAGTTCTTCATCTTTCCATGAGAGTTATAGATGGGCATGCGAATGTTGGTATCATCATCCTCCGACTCGGCCATGTACTTCATATCCTCACTGGAGTTGGACATCTGGTCGTGCTCTTTCTCCGGCTCCATGTTTGACTGGCTGGACTTGGCCGGCGACTTGGGCGGCGTAACATCCATGGGCGGTGTGAGGGCTTGCAACTTCTCGCTGGTTGCCACCGCAACGGGGGCAACTGCTCCAGTTGTGGGTGTGGGCTGTGGGCTTGGACGCAGGTTGCCGCCATAGAAATGCTGCATGGGAGTGGGCAGACCGGGCGGCGTCAGCGGATTGAAGCCACCCATCAGGTGGTGATGATGATGATGCTGCTGCTGGGCTGCCTGGAAGTGCTGCTGGTACTGCTGCTGCTGCAGCAACTGTTGCTGCAGTGTGGCATCAAAGTGTTGCAGGCTGTTCTGGTCGTTCTGGCTGGGCGAGGGCGTCATGGCGCACATAGTATCCATGGGCTGTTGCTGGTGTGACTGATGCTGCTGTTGCTGCTGTTGCTGCTGGTGATGCTGCTGCTGCTTGAGGAACTGCTCCAGCTGACTGCTGGCCGCCAGGGGAGAGGGCAATGGTGACTGGCGGGGACTGCTGGCCACGCTGTTTCCGTCCAGGTGGTGACCCGGCTCCTGCTTGATGTTGGCGGCAAACATGCTGCTATACCAGGCGTTGTGCTGCTCGTAGTTGGCCGTGGCTGTCGGCTCCCAGTTCTGCATCTTTACGGCTGTAATGAGGGAAGGCGAGAGAGAGAGGTGTTAGTTAATCACTGCGCCTGCGTCGTGTTTTTTCTCTTTATTTTTTTGCTTTGCTTTTTTTCCTTGTTTTTCGCTTGTTTTTCTTTATATTTCTTTTTCTTTTTTTGTTGTGTGTGTGTGTGCCACCCCTAAAGCCCTGTCGGGGTGGAAACCACCATACACACACCCTCCCGACAAAAAATTTGAGTGATTCCTGAACAAAATGGAGAACCCGGTGATGGCTACAGTAATATCCTTTGCCACATTCACCTACCGTTGAGGGGCCGCTTTCGAAGTGTATTCCAAATCTTCGGGATTTACGCAGCAGACTCTTGGCTTTGTGGATTTTTCTAGCTGGGAAATGCTGCTATGCAAATGCGCTGTGTTGTCGCTGTGCTGACGAACTCGGTACTGACTGAGCAACTGCAGCGGAGATTGGCTTATATCGGACTCAGGTAGACGGGGCGCACGCGTCAAGGGATTAGACGCGCAAAGGGCGACGGGAAGTCAGGTACAGGTCGCGGATCGGGGATTGCGCGCTTGATCCATTCTGGATTAGAGCACGAAATTGGTGCGAAAACAAAAAAATTACGCGCACTTGGATTTGGATGATCCGGGAGCTTAGCGGATGGGCCAGCTTAGCACGGAGAGCTGCGAATTTTCCCTCGGTTTTCTATGTGGATTAAGCTAGGATCTCGCCGACAGCGGGAAAAGGCAAAGGCAGTTCGAGTTTAATAATAAAAAGCAAAAGGATTTAACTAAATTAACGGATCAGAGATTTCTTACAGCTGGCGGGTTTCTTATTTTTTTTGACCTCAGGTTAAAACTGATATTCTTGGTAATATTTCTAACATTATAACCATCTATTATCTAATAGAAAATTATATATTTAAGTACTGACGTTATACCGGAAATATACTCTAAAAACAGCACAAATTCTATTTGCATTTTAAAAGTCTTTTCACAAAATTATTTTTTATATTTCTGCCTGGAGCATTCTCCCAGCACTTGCCCCATGTTTTCCATTTTCCCAGCAATATTTTTTCCGCAAGACTTTTCACTTTGATTTGCGTAGTTCTACAAATAATTCGACCATTAATTTTTTTCCTTTGCTGCACTGCATTTTTCCTATATTTTTTTCAATTTTAGCAATTTCCAATTTCGCGCTGAAAAATTGTGCAGTGTCGGGGCTGCATTTTTGGGTAATTGTTTGTGCTTTTAAGTAAATATTATTAAAAACGCAAAACGACAGCAGGGCGGTGGCGCAGTGGCGGAGGGGTGGAATATTATGCGAGTGGGGTGTGCTATCTGGCAGCTAAAATATTTGCAATACTTAGCCGTAATTGATGGTGCAGGAAGCACAGAATGCATTATTTGCACAAAATGAAGCTTAGCATATTTATTTAGTTTCGCTTTTGTACATAGCCGCATCTGCATCTATTTTACTTTTAAAAGAAAACCAAAATTAATTGGAAACAAAGAGGGGAATTTTCGCATTTTGCCTGGGCTTTTTTGTGCCATGCCCAACAAAAACAGCAGCAGCAGGAGCAACAGCAACAAAGCCAAAACTAAAGGCCAAGTGTAAAATTAATATTACGCCGCATGGTGCAGGAACGGAACGGGGGGCGGCTGCTGCAGGGGCAGCGAGTGCAGCCAGGCAACCGAAACTGCAAAAGTAAACTAAACATGTGCTAGTCGTTTTTGCCCCCTCCAACCCATGCCCCGCCCCCTTTTGTAACCCCCTCTAAAAATATCATGAAAATGGCAAAAATGGAAAAATTCAAAAACGCAGAAAATGCGCCACAAAAAAATGTTTTTGTTGAAAAATCAGTACAAAAAGTGCAGCCAAGAGAAGGATATGCCAGAGAAACTATATAGATATTTTACAGAATAAACACAGATGTGGTCAAAATAATATAAATTTGTTTGCTTTTCAAATATAATCAACAATTTGAGGAAATAATAAAATGTAATAATGAAATATATATAATAATAGTAATAATTTTGATCATTTCTGTATAGGATACTCCAATACTAATGCTTTTTATAAACTTATACATTTTAGAATTATTTTTAATTGGGTTTCTACAATTTAATATAAATTTAAAGGTAAGGATACATCATATTTAACCTTTTTATCAAATAAAAAAATAAGTTATCCATATTTAAAATATTTACAAAAACTAAGCTTCATATTTTGATCCAAGTTATAGATTTATATACCAGATATTCAAGGTACATATATGCCATAACATATCACCATGTGCTGCTGCTATCTTGGAGCAACTTGTTAAATGCAATTTTTTGGAGCTCTGCCTGCTTAGGGAATTTTTGAAATTGCTGCGCTGCTGCTGCTGCTGCTGAACTGATTCAATGTCATTTGCGGTTTATAAATACATCTCCTATAATATGTGCATATTTATTTTTAATGCAACTAACAAAGCCCCATTTGTTTTTGATGATGATTTCTGCTCGGTTCTTTTTGTCAGAAAACATTAAAACTGTCGACTGACAATCATTTCGGCATGTTTCTCTATGCAACCGAGATCTTGTGATGATGCCGATCCTAAAAAAACACCTCAAAATCATTGCCGACAGAGGCCACCTTAAGTATTTATTATATCTGCAAATGTATTTCACATTTTGGCAAGTGCCAAACAATTTGCCATTAAAAAATTGCAACCGCTGACTTTGAATTATAGTTCGATGTCTAAATTTAAATTATTAAAAAAGAAAAATTAAAACACACAAAAAAAGAAAGAAAGAGGAAAATGCATTTGCCAAAGGAAGAGCAAAAAGAAATTGGGAGGAGGAGAGCAGGCAAAAAAAACAACATGAAAGTCGACATGTAAACAAATAAAATTAGCTGTCAGGCGTGGAGGGGGCGGGTGCATGGGGAGGGGCAGGCTTCTGCTGCAACTGCGCGGGCAAAAAACAAGTTCACCCAAAGATCGGCCAAAAGCCAGACAGATTTTAAAATATTGTTTTAGAATTTTTGCCGTTTGCATTTTTAGCAAATGATTTACCACTCGCCGAGTGTGTGTGAGTGTGTATGAGCTCCTAGTGTTTGTATGTTTTCCGTTCTTAAGGTTAGACAGAAAAAGAAGCACTAGACAGCCACAACAGACAACAAGAAAATGCAGAAGATCATGAACATAAAGGACCAGATGTAATGGAGATAATAAATCAGCGAAAAAGCGTGCTAAAAAGTGGGTGTAGGGAGCTATAAAAAAACGGGAAGCATCTTTATCGCATCAGAAAATTAAGACTAACTTTAGATGAGTCTTGAGCAAAATCATAAACTTATCAAACATAAAATGTAATTGATAAACTGCACTCGAAGTCATTAAGTAAATTGTAAGTTTTATGACAAAAGTTTCTTTTTATAAGGGTTTGCTTAGTAAAATAGTTTAAAATGAATATTCAAAATATGTTTTCTTTATATAAATGGTAAATTAAATAAATATAAATTCTAATTAACAACATGATAAAATAATCTACAAGTCTATCAAGCCTAGTAAATTTAGAACCAAATGAAAAATGCAATATATCCCTGGATGCCCCAACAATTTGCAATTTACCCTTGCCTCCAAATAGATTTCTTAATTTCTTAATTCTTGTTTATTTGTTTATCCGTGGGAGAAAACCGAATTACAGCCGGGAGCTTTCAAAGATTTCTTCTACTTGCATGTGTTTTTTAAGATTTATTGAAGGCTAACTTTGGCAATTCTCCGATTTGCTTTTATTTACGCGAAAATTCACTTTAAGCACTTATAGAAGGTAGCTTTGAAAATGAATATTTACCTTTTTTTTGGGGGAAAGGCTCCAAGGGAATTCTCCAAGTGGATCCAGCAACGGGACCCGCTCTCAGTGTCGCGGACTGGCTCTCTCACGCTCTCTATCGTGCACACTTGACCGCGACTCCGTTAAATCACACACACGCACTGTGGGCAGGCGGCAGTGCGTGCGAGGGGGAGAGGCGATGTGGGGGCTACTGTTCTTGCTCTTCGTTTTTGTCTATTTTTTGGTTCCCCGCTTTTTAGCTTTTTTGCTTCTTTTTTTGCGCGGAATTCGCGCATGTGCGGGAAAAAAGAAGTTTGGTAAAAATAACAATAATTTGGCAGAACAGAGTTATAATTTTATTAGATTATTATTTTTTTTTTTTGTTTAACACGAGCACGGTTTATGTTTTTTTAAAACGGGTGATATTTTGATTTTGCAGCTTTCGTTTACGTTTCGTCCTTTGGCGTTTGATTTCTGTTTTCTTGCTTTTTCTCTTTTTGTGGGGATGCTGCTTTCGTTTTCGGGATTCAGAGACGACTGACCGAGAACCGTGCTGAACTGGCTAAATAATATCTAAAAATCTGCTCCGCATATTGCACTCGCAAAACCTACTCAAATGTTGGCACTCAAATCGGAAATCTCAAAACTCAATTGCAAAGAAGAAACAAATGTCAGAAATGCAACAAAACAAAGAGCGGGCGAGAGTGAAAGATAATGAGAGAACGAGAGACAGAGCTCAGCAGCGATTACAGAAAAACTCGAGAGAAACTCACTCAAAGCAGCGGGATGCTGTAAGTGATTTGAGTCGAGTGAACTGCCCCAACCCCAAAAGAACGGCATCCCCATGGTGAACTCACCCTCCGGCACGCGCGCTCTCTCTCGCTTTCGCACCCACTCTCCCTCTTGCTCTCTGTATCCCTGTGTGTCGTCTAGTTCGGCATCCTTTGGATGCATTTCGCCGACTGCAGCTGCCTTTTTTGGCTCTTTTGCCGTTTTTTGGCCACTCCGCTTCATTATCGATTATTGATTTTTGGCCAAGAGAGGGAGCCATTGAGAGAAGGGGGGTGGGGATGGGGGTTAGGCGTTCTCCTTCGCAACTTTAAGCCCAGACACATTAACAAGTTAGCTCAATGCAATTTGGCCGATAGAAAGTTTCGTCTGCACATTTCTTGTTGCTTTAACACATTTTCCGCACTCTGTGTACCACCGTGTGCATGCTTGTGGGTGTTTAATTAGGGAAAAGCTTTGCAACAATTCGGGTTTAGAGTTTTATTTTTAACAAGGACTTTTGCTTTCGATAATCCCAAATTAATTTGGAGGATTTACAATTAATGTAAATAATGTTTTGTAGATAATTAAGTGAAGACTTAAGGCATTTAATTGATAAACTGTTTAGTAATAGTGTGTCTATAATATCCGAAATACATTACAATTAATTATTAGCATATATGAATTCTTTATTTTTACGTAATTGTTTAAGAGGTACTGTTGAACCACATTGACAACATGCAAAATATCGTACTTTTCATATTTAAGCTGTTAAAACATTAAAAGGAAATAAGATATTAACAAAACTCAAAGGCAGATTTAAAGTCAAAGATTTAAACTTAATTAAAGCAAACCTTAAATATTTTAAACTTTCTTACAAATATTTTAAGAAATTAATACACAAATTCTTCCGGGTTTTCATTTATTTGTGAAGAAATAGAATTTAAAACCTAATAAAATGAAATGAAATGTTATTTTTTTAACAATCGAAGTTAGATACTAAAATAATTAAATCTGCAGTTAGTATTCTCTCAAACAAAATATAATACATAAATATCCGATTTTTTTTATAAGGATTATTCCTCTGTTCATTCGATATAATTCCGCATATAATATTTAAATTATAATTGAAATATTTACATATGTTTCGACCAAAGCCGACACAGAAAATTGGGGTAATTTAGCGTTGGCAGAGGGAGGGGTGGGATGGGGAAAATGTAAAAGCAATATTTACCAAACAAATGACATGCCAGAAAGCAAACAAAACGCCGGCGGAATGCAAATTACACAAGTTGTCCTGGGCCAGGATGACAAGGATAGCGGATAGGGCACAGGTAGGCCGGAGGACCAACACAGACCTGCCATTGAGGCTGACATGGTCAACCGGATTAGAAACTGCAACCGGACTTAGCAGCAAGAAAGGATTAAAGGACGCGAAGCTACCTGAGCGCCCCGCCCAGTTCATTAATCCGCGCATCCGAAGAAGTGCGACTTCAACTCCGGCCGACTTCGGTCAACTGGAGCGACGGAGATTTAAAAGCGATTTGTGTTAAACATCGCTTGGTAATCCAACATTACGCAGTACACAGGACTGTGCAGGACAGGATCACGAGGGATCAGCGCTGTTGATCCGCAGGATCCAGTTAGTCCCGAGTGATTAACGCTCGCTGATCAGCGCGATTAGCGCTGCTTAAGGCGGGCGGGTGTGGAGCACTGATCCGCGTCATGATCCGTGATCCTTGAGACACACAGCCTCGGGCCCTCGCTGGCCAAGTTATGTAAAGTTGAGCCCAAAACGCATAACAAATAGTCATAAGTCCCGGGACTGCGTCACGCTTGACCTTTTAATTGGAAAAGCAACCGATCGGGGATCGTGATCTGTGCAAACACAAACAGGATGATGATCATGATAGACTAATTGCCGAAAGTCCCTGCGTTATATGCAAATGATCCTTGACCTTTGGCCGGCATGCTGCCGCCTTGAGATCCTCATCGCATCTTCGAGGGGAAGATCAAGAGGGAGGATCTCAAGACATCTTTATCTGCCGATCTTTGCATCTCCAGCATATGCAAATGCATCCATCTCTCGAAAGATTTTGTGGTTGACCGATTTGCCCCTCAAGGATCTCATTAGGATCTCCTTTTTGTGTTTTGATTTGGCGCACTCTTGTCCTGACCTTTATCCTTATCCCTCGGTCTGTTGAGATATCACCTTGAGTTCGTAAGCTGATTTCATGCCCAGGATGATTTGCCATTTTCCTTGAGTTTTTTCTACGTCTGACTATTTTTTGTTTGTATGATTTCTGCACGGCTGAAGAGATTTAGCTCTTTGATCTTAAGTGCAAATTGGTTTTGCTACCACAATTACTTACTTTCAGGCAATGTGAAGGGTATTTTAGGTCATACTCCATTTTTCTTGAGACAATCTGTGTTATTTTACGGTGATTTTTTAAAAGTAACATTCTAAAGATATTTAATTTAGGCTTGAAATAAATGTAGAATACAGTTTTCGTTAGGTTACTTGAATCTTTTGATATATAATTCCAAAAGTTATGTATATTAAATAAAAAAGTCATGTATACTAAAATAAATTAAAAATATATCTTTTGGTATGTAATTTTAAGGAAGACTGTTATTTAGCTTAAATAATCCTTAGAACATTTGTATGAACCAGTTTCTTAAATATTTCTTGAATATTTATTTAATTAACCTTTTTAATATTTATTCACGCATAAAAAGGCTTTGTTTTCCCGTATCAACTGCTTCATAAATTCCATAGAATATTTCTTAAATACATCTTCCAAATCATGCACAGCCCGAATACTTTCATTTGTTTGTATTCCACATAATAAATCCCATACAAATTCGGAATTTAAAATGTATCTACCCGAAATCCCAGCTAATTCTGACTTGACACTTTTTTCATGCATACATTTTGTTGGTTTCATTTCAACATTTTCGGCTATTCAGTTTGTTTTTGCATAACTTAGGTAAGAAAAAACACTTGCCAAACCCTCCTCCTCCTATCATGTTCGTTTTGCAAATTCTGCACACTTCACGACCGTGGCCAAGGGTCCTTTAGCAAGCCGCAGAAAATTTGCATTTTGGCATAAATCAAAATGTGAGAAGTGCTCGCGACGTTACGCCCACAAAAGGGACAAAATTCCGCCGAAATGTTATGGTAAACATGGATGGATGGTCTCGGCGTTCACCCAACATCCGTAAATCCTTTTTTAGCACGAAAACCCGAAGGATTAAAAAAGGAAACTAGAGCAGAGACATGGACTGGGTCGAAATAGTTGCTCTAATTTTCATTGTCCACCTTAATGGCTCCGCTGTACAAAAGCGTGAAGGACAACGGCAGGACGCAGTAAGACAATTGTCCTGGCTGGATTTCCAGTCGACACGCCACGAGATTTTATGGAGGCGAATCGCTTTGCATGCCGTCGTCCCAGAGCATTTTGTTTCGGTTTCGGTTTGTTTTCCGACCAGGTAAGGCCGCTTCACAATGAAAATAGCTGGAAAATCGCGAGAACTTTCTATAGTGCTGCGAAGATACAATATCTGAGCGTCTAATGGTCATTAGAGATCGGTCCGGGTCCGCTCCACTTACAATTGTAGGCGAAAGGGACTTTGGCCGAAACTTAAAAAACGTCGTGAAAAAAACGGTGGACTTCCGCGTAAAGGATCCTGTGTTCCTTTCTCCTTTTTTTCTCTTGGTGGTCATAAAATATTTAGTTTTTTACGACCACCGTGTCCAAGAGCAGCAGGTAGACCGCTGCCGTTTTTTGTGTGCGCTTCTCGTACCCTTAACCCTTTCACCATTAAGAAAAAATCGTATCCTGGGAGTGTCCTTGCCAGTTTCCCTCGAACCGGCTAGCGATCTTTGCGTTTTCTCTTCTTTTTGTTTCCAGCTAATGTCTGTTTGTGTCCCTTTGTGTTCTTTATGACGCTTCGGTTGTGTATTTTTTATGGCATCCATTGTCCTCCAGCATCCATTTTGCGTGGAACGGAGTGGAATGCTTACTTCCTCAACCCTTTGGCGGACGGGAAAGTTGGTGTCGGGGCGAAGGAAGGGGTTAAGTGAAAATTCCATTGCACTTTTTACGAGCTGCAATCTTCCCGGAATGTCTGTTTTTGGTCATTAGGCGAAAGGGTTAAGTTCGATTTGGTTCTGGGTACGTTTATGGGCTATATTCAAATTGAAAGGGTTAAGAGCGGAATAAAGTAAAAGGGTTGAGTTTAAATATATATATTTAAAGGACATCTTTATTGCTAACAAAAATTTTTGAAAAAAACCTGTTGGGAAACTAAGGAAAACCAATATTTTTAAACTTTCTTTTAACCTGCATCTTAAAAATAAAATCAATCAAAGGTTTAAAAGTTTAAAAAAGAGAATGTTTTACAAAATCTGAAGAAAATAAAAGAGATTATAAAAATTATTATTATATATATATTATAAAAAATTAGTGAAGTTCTGACTGATTTTAATCTTAGCTCTCATATCATGAAATTAGCTCTCCTTCCAAAGGATAATTACGAGTAGTTCAGTTATGGCGCGAAATATATATCCTTACCCTCCTTAACCTTTTAAGGATTTCA